TTGAGGAATCTTCACACTGATTGCCACAGTGATTGCACCAGTCTACCCTCCCACCAAAAATGGACAAGGGTTCCTTTTGCCCTGCAACCCCACCAGTATTTGTTATTGGTTGATTTTTTATATCAGCCATTCTTTCTGGAGAGAGGTGGGATCTCAGCATTGTTTTCATTTGCATCTCTTGAATGACCAGTGATGTTCATTTTTTCATATGTTTATTTGCTGTTTCTACTTCTTCATCTGAGAAATGTCTGTTTATTTCAGGTGCCCATTTTTGAATTGGGTCTTTAAATTTGGGGGGGTGTCTGATTTTTTGAAAGATCTATATATATTCTAGATAGTAGACCTTTGCCTGAGGAAGAGCTGGTAAAAAACTTTTCCCATATTGTGGGCTGTCTCTTCACCCTGTTGATGGCTTTTCTTGGCGTGCAAAAGCTTTTTCATAAGATGAGATCCTAGTTGTTGATTCTTTGTGCTTGTTCCTGTGTGACTGAGGTTTTGTTCATAAAATATTTTCTTGCACCAATGTCTTCAATAGTGCTACCTAACCTATCTTCTATCAGGCTCAGTGTTTGTTTTAATATTTAGATCTTTGATCCATTTTGATTTTAGTTTAATGCATGGTGAGAGATATGGATCTGCTTTTAATCTTTGGCAAGTTGAAACCCAATTTTTTCAGCACCATTTATTAAAGAGGCTATCTTTTCTCCACTGAGGGTGTTTGGCTCCTTTGTCAAAGATGAAGTGGCTGAGTATGGCTGGTGTTGTTTCTGCATCTTCTAATCTGTTCCCTTGAACTTCCAATTTGTTTCTTTGCCAATACCATGCTGTTTTTATTGCAGTAGCTTTGTAGTATAGTTTCAAGTTGGGGATTGTTATACCCCCTGCCTTGTCTTTGCTGACTAGAGTTGCTTTTGCTATTCTAGGTCTCTTCTGGTTCCAAATGAATTTTTGGATTGTTTTCTCTAGTTCTGTGAAATATGTTGTTGGAATTTCTATTGGGATTGCATTGAATCTATATAGCAGTTTTGGAAGTATAGCCATTTTCACTATATTGATTCTTCCTACCTAAGAACAAGGGATGTCTTTCCATTTTCTCAAGTCCTCTTCTCTTTTTTCAGAGTGCTGTAGTTTTCAGAGTAGAATTTTTTTACTTCATTAGACTAATTCCTAGGTATTTCATTTTTTTGGATGCTATTGTGAAAGGGATTGTTTCCCCTGTTTCTTTCTCAGTGAGTCTGTTACTCATGTACAAGAATGCTATTGAGTTTTGAGTGTTGAACTTGTATGCAACTACTCTACTGAATTTGTTTATGAAGTCTAAAAGTCTTTTGGTGGAGTTTTTGGGGTCTTCTGTATAGAGTATCATGTCATCCTCAAATATGACAGTTTAACTTCTTCCTTTCCTATCTTTATTCCTTTTATCTTTTTCTCTTGTCTAATTGCTGTGGCTAATGTTTCCAGAACTATATTAAACAGGAGTGGGCATCCCTGTCTTGTTCCTGATTTTAGCGTGAAAGATTTCAGTTTTCAACCATTTAGTATGATGTTGGCCATTGGTTTTTCACAGTGCATTTTTTTCATCTTGTTGACATAAAAGAAGAGTGTTTTATAATGTGACTTGAATAACAGCAACAATATATTTTATTCCCATGGATTTCCTTTACCTTTTAATTGTAATTAGAGTTGATTTCCTTAGTAGAGAGGCTTACATTTTTGATATATTTTTATTGATCAGAAAAAGGGAGATTATGTTATTTTTCCCATATGAAGAAAAGTAAATGTATTTCATGGCAAATTTTAGAAACATTTCCAGTGACATTGGGAATAAGACATGTGTGCCACCTACTGCCACCCATACTGAACTCTGCACAGTTTGGTTTTTGGCCAAGAAGTCATAGGAAGAAGTGAAATAGGAGACCTAAGATCTGAAAAAGATTCAAAATCCTAGTACTGACAGACAACATAATCACCTACACATAATATTCAAAAGAATATGAAGATGGGTCATTAATATTAATAATATTGATATTAATAAGAGACATAACAGATTTGCTGGATGTGCTCCCTACCAAAAACCAATCAGTAACATCCCTACACATTAGCAATAAACATTAGAAATCTGAATATAAAAATAGTAATCACAGTTGTGAGAGAAATTAAACAGAGTAAATATAAAAACTATGTGACTTAGACTGTGTATATTTGTGAAATGAAAAGATTTAACAGAAGACATGAATAAATGGACAGATAAATGATTCTAATAAACAAGATAAAGTTGTTGAAACTTTTCAAACTATTCCATGAGATAAATGAAATTTCTGTAAAAATCTTAAAATCTGTAAATATTGTCTTGGAACTTAGTAAATATTATCTTGGAACTGTAAATATTGTCTTGGAACTGTAACTATTGTCTTCAAACTTAATGAGCTGATCCTCAGAAACAAACATAAAAATTGCTATCCAGTGTATATGTAGAATTCATATATATCCATAAGGACAAATGATTAGTAACCTAACAGGAAAAAAAGCTAATTGTATGAGCAAGATTCTCATAAGTGGAAACCAAAATTTCCCCCAAATATATGAAAGGATGCACATAATGAGGGGAATGCAAATATCATCAACAATTAAATGGAATTTCATATTTTATTATAATGTAATGGTAGAAATATTATATTGAATTGAAACCTCATGAAAAGTCATTTGTCAAAAACTTCTACCTGATTATATCTAGTTTCAATAAGGAGGAACAAGTCAGCATCATGAAATTGTTAAACACAGAGTTAGGATTATCCCTATTTACCACAAAATTGTTTCTTGGGTGTAACTCTTAGATGACCAATCCAAACTGGGCTATTATTTATCTTTAAATAGTCAAATCAGGGGAATTGTCATTCCTGGATGACTCCTTTCTTGAAATCATTGAAATGTGAGTCTCATTAACACTAGTCAGACAAGTTTCATCTTATTTGTTTTTTACATTTCACCCAGTCCATAAAAGCCAATCAAGCAATACTGGATGTAACACTTGAATGAAAAGAAGGCTCTTACTCTGTCACTCTACCATCATCATCATAATCTTCATCATCGTCATCAGAACGGCCATCACCTCCGCCACTGTCCCTGGTACCGTTGCAACCATTAGAACATTATGCACAGGTAAATGGAATTTTATTTTTGAGACTGGCTGAAAAACCTGACCAGTTTCCACGGTATCTGAATATCTTCTAGTTTTTATTAATTGATCGCTTTCTACAATTTAGTGTTTATTTCTGAGCTCTGTCAAGAAGCATGCTATAGTGTGATGTCTAAAGGGTTTTTGAAGTCCTGGAGAAAGTTTCAAAAGTAAAGAAAATGAGAAATTAATAAAGAATTGGAATTTAATGAGATTATAACTATTGGAAAAGAATATAAATATAGAATTTAAACATTAAGGAAACAAGACGTTTTTATAATTCACTCATAAGAATGCTATGTTTTCTAATTTAATTAAAATCAAATTTTCTAATATCAAAATGTTTTCTTACAAATAGAAATATCTGAAAAGAACTTTAGATTTTTTTTTAAGAAAAATGTTTTTCACAATATAGATCCTGAATTAGCAGCTGATGAAACTACAGGTGTTTTCCAAATTTCTTAGATTTATAAATGGACTCATTTTTACAGGTTTTCTTCCAGAGTCTTTGGAAAAAGTGAAAATGGAAGCCATTCAACCCTTTCAATTATTATGTTTCTCTGCTTTTTATTTACAACTCTCGCTCTAATGCCTGAACACCATGTTTGGGAGGAAAAGCATTATTTTTATAAAATTCAGAAAATTTTGCATTGGAAAATACTCTTCATTGTATGATAGAATTCAGGTGTGTCTAATTCAAATAGTTTACAAATTAAACCTTAATAAATGAAAACTACAATTTCATATGCTTTGCAGCTTAACTGCTAAAACCACACCAGAATGTGGTTTTAAGGATCTCTAACCTAGAGACTGATACCTGGCATAGGCTCTGAGAATAGAATTAGATTGAGACTAATGCTTCAATATTGTGAACATGTAATAACTATAATTTTATATCGGTATCATTATTGCAAGTTGATGAAGGCCAGTTGCTGATTATGCCAGAATAGCAATGAACTCTTACTTGAAATAAATTCAATCCAAAAGTGAAGTACTTAAGTTTACATAACTTTATGGGCTTGTTTTAGTTTATTAGTGATTAAATTTTAACAATTCTCTATGCTTAAAAAAAGATTTATCCTGGAATACAAATTTCTTCCTTCTAAAATGTGTGACCAAAACTTAATTGAGTAATTTATTTCACAAATGGATCTTTATTTGATACTTAAAACAGTAAGTTCAGCTATTATTAAAAATAATTTCTAGAATTTATGTATCCCATTTTCTAAAAGAAAATTTGACTTAATTATAAATGAATGTGATATCTTAGATATTAAAGAATTTCCTTAGTTGTTTTTGACAGGAATATGGGAAAATGCTGTATCAGAGATACAGCCAATGATATATATTCTTGAGGATTTTCCAGAGCATTCAAAAGTAGCTTTCAGAAAAAACCTCGTATAAGCATAAAGTAGTGATTATTTGTATAGAAATCATCTTATCATTTAGAATCACTATATTGGATATGGGTATTTGAGTTTCTCAGACTCATATGCACATCAGAGACTAAGCCAGCAGAATAACTGACTAATCCAAAACAAATTTGAGACCTTATTTCACAAGGCACTTTTAATAGTCATTATTAGGAGATATGTTACCCATATTAGTAGGGTGATAGCTACTGTTTAAGAAACTTTGTGAATGCATAGCCTTTTTTTGCTTAAAGGATGAGAATGAGCAACAGAATTCCAACATGAAAGCAGACATGGAATGCACCTGAAATAGAGAGTTTCTTGGAAAAGCTTTGACAATAGTTTTATTTCCAGGAAACACCAATTATCAAGTCATCAAAAGAGAAAGGTATAAGGAAGAGGTAGGATTAACAATGGAGAACATACAAGAGGAAATAAAACCAGGTGGAGTTGCACAGTTTTGGTATATGGTAATGTTAGAAAAATCTTAGCCACCTAAAAGACAAGGGATGAGGGAGGGATGAGAATGAAAACATTCAAATATTAATAGAGAATATCTCATCTTACAAGTTTATACCCTGATTACAAACTCTTCTGTTTTGCAAGGTTTATTTAGAGTGATGCAGAACTCAGAGTTTGTGGAAACAGATGAAGGGTCTTTTGAAATTTGGGATAAGAGTGCTTGTTTTATAGCTCTCCCACCAAATGACCAATTACGTGACACCATGTCATGACACCAGACACGAAGACTACTACTGTCTAAAGCTTGTATAAGTTAGGTTTAAGTCTGACCAAAAAATCTAACCATAACCTTAAAATATTTTGTTCTATTTGAAGCCAAGCCACTAAGTTCTGATTCTTTTTCATCTAATTGTTTGATTTTGATGACAAAACAACTAACCAATATATCCATTTATGTTACATAAGTAACCTACATTTGTGGAAGAAAAATTACAAAACATAGCTTAGGAAAAAGTAAACAGAAATGTATGTGTCTAACTTCATAATATGGAGATTATTGAAATTGACATATGGTGTGTCCTGGCACATTTGTTAAACCTATGAATGTTACACTATGTATTTAATTATGTCTATAAATCTTTTTATATCCATGTACATATCATGACTATAGCTCACAAAAATATAAGACCACATCTAGTATTTTATGATCTGCTTTAGATTAAAAGAAAAAAAGCTAATCAATTTTTCTTCAGCAATATGAGGACAGAATCTATGTCTATTTTGTTCACTGATGAATTTCCAGCAGCTACCACTCAAATAAGATTTGTACTCATATAAGATTTGTTATATGAATGAATGTTTGGGTCTGTCTTTGTGAGGCATTCCATGTTTGCAAGTAACATAAGAAAGACTAATGCATGTTATAAATACTGTTGTATGAAAGAGAACTAGGTAGATTTGGAGTGTCTGTCATCTGATTTGTCATTTTTTTTCTTTTATAGGTCCACCGTGGCTTCCCAGAGGCGATCTGGGCCTCTATAGTTGATAATTCTTGTTTCTCTTGGAATAACAGCAATTTTAGGAGTGATTATTGGTCTTCTTGTTCATTTTCTAGCAGTTGGTAAGTATTGACTATTTTCAGTATTAACGCATACTACTAAATGGGTTTATTTTAAAAAATTGATAAGAAACATAAAAAATTCTTTGGGAAGTTTTCTCATTTCCTTGATATATTATTTCAACATCATAAAGAAAGGCCTGGTGCCTCCTCCTCTCTTGCTTTTTTTTCCCCCTTACAGTAATATTGCATGATAATATACTTTCCTATATTGTAAAAATGTGTGTTAATTTTCCTATCCCTTTTTTATTCTTTTAATGCCAGTCCTATGAGATTAAAACATTACCTTTGTAACTGCATTTAACCCTAATTTCCTCATTTAAAATCTATCTTTAAGTAGATTACATTGACATTGAGAACTTCAGCATATTAATTTTGGGTCTCATGCAGACTTGAGCCAGTAATAAAGTGAAAATTAGTTTAAAAATGGCACTTGGAATCAATATAACTTTCCAGTAATACAACCAGGGTTAGAAATTTAAACACCATGGTTTCTGTGAATCTGGACATTGACAAATTGACAAATAAATCTGCCTATTTGTGAATACTGAGGTTAGTAGTCTGAGTGTAACATCAAGTTAGTAGATTCTAATTATTTACTCCAGATCGTTTGATGGCAAAGTTCACAGAGTAAAATCATAAAATAAAAGAGAGGGGCTTTCTCTACTGCAATTTAATCTTTGTGATTAAGAAAAAAATCTCAGAGGGCTGAAGTGCTGTGCCATGGTGATATAGCCAAGCTGAATTATGGCTGAATGAGTTTTTTCTATTTCCATACTTACTCTTTTCAGATCACCTTAGGTGACTTCTTAGACTCTGGCATTTGACTTTCACATGCACCAATTGCCATAAGGAAAAACTTAGAAAATGATAGGAAACAAATTTTTATCTCAGATTGGAATTACTTCTGAGTTCCAGTGCAATATATTATTTCAGTTAAGGAAGGCGTGTGGTACTAGGATTGAACCCAGAGCCTTCACCCTGAGCTACATCCCTAGTCTTTTCTTTTTACTTTTAAATTTTGAGACAGAGTCTGGCTAAATAGTTAAACTTACCCAGGCTGGTTTCAAACTCGTATTTCTCCTGCCTAGCCTCCCAGAATATAATTCCAAGATTACAGTCATGCTCCGCCACACCTGACAATGTAACATATTTTAAAGATGGATCAAAAGCACAATAGCTTTTGATATATATATATATATATATATATATATATATATATATATCTCCAAAACAAAGTACCGTTGCATAGGAGTTCCTAATTTTGAGAAAGATATTGGCCAGGAAAAAATACCTCTAGGCATTTCCTGCTCTAAATTGTAGTGGCTTAGTGTATCAGGTATGCTGCAGGGAGAGGGAAAGACTCTCAGGGAATGATTCCAAATAGTGGAAAGCAGGGAGAGAAAAGGTACAACAGGATGTAGCACATCCTAAAAGTGAAAAATGACTTTTAAGATGTTTCTTATATTGGAACTGCTTAGAAAAATCAATTGAGTAATCACTAAACGAAGAGTGCACTTCATACAAAAAGCATAGATAGATAGAGGCTGCTGGCACTGCCAGTTTGAAGAAGGTCTGAGTATATATGCGGTATGATCACAAAATACAGTGAATATTTAAGTTTTAAAAATTGTTTTAAAAGACACACTGCCATTAATCCCCCCCAAAACACCCACTTCATTTTGAGTATTCTTATCCCATCATTCTTGCCACTTTGTGACAGAGTTATGAAAGTCCTCTGAGTCTTTTTAGTTGTGCTGTGGTAGCTGCCTCAATGCCCCGAATCAATTAAAAATATTTATCTTTCATAGTCATTTCAACTTTGGGGAAAAGCCAGAAGTTTCACAGTGCGAAATCTGGTCAACAAGGTGGATGAAGATATATCTAATTTGTTGTTGTTGTTTTGATTTTTTAATGTTGGATTTATTTATTTTTATTTTTTTATTAATTTTATTGGTACATTTTAGGTATAAATATAATGACATTCATCTTTGGAAATTTGCACCTTTAGGTAATCTGTCTTGGTTCTTTTTTGTCCCCTATTCCCTTGGCCTCCCTTCAACCCCTCCACCCCTCCCTTTTTACAAAGACTTTGTTCCCATTTTTTTCATTTTCTCATATTAATTTCATATCTAATGTTTTTATGAATCTACCTTTTTGTTGGATGGCACTCAGCAGCAGCATTCACTGTATTTTTTTTTAAATAGCAAAACATTTATTGGTACACTTTAGACATACATAATGCTAACACTCTTCATAGGGAATTTGCATCTACACACAATACCTCCTGCCTCTTTTTTTCCCATGTTCTTTTTTTATTGCACCTTGTAAAGACACTCAGGAAAGAGGACTTCTAGATGTGCTTTAGAAAATGGCAAGAGTGATGGGATAAGTGTGTTTGAGTTGAGGGGTAATGTTTTGAGAAAGATTTATGCCAGTATGTCTTTTACTCTAATAAAAATTTTTATTTAAACACACATGATAGTTTTGATCAGCCCTTATACCTAGAGGGTATCACCTGGCACCTACTATCACCTGAAGGGAAGAAGTTGATGAATGAATGCAGGTAGCTGCCAAGTGGATGTCCATTTCCTTCTATCCTTCTTTTTATTTTTCTTTCTGATTATTTTTAAACCTGTGTTAAATGCTAATTTTGAGACAAAGATGTGGATGGACATGTGGTTACTTCCTGTTTTAAAATTTACGAGTATTTTTTCATTTCACAGAAAAGATACACTATTATCGAGGTGATTTTCATATTTCTGGAGTCACATACAATGATAGTTGTGAAAATACTGCTTCACAAGCCAGCACAGATCTGAGTAAAGATATCAAAACCAAGGTAAATCAGAGATATATTTTACAAATTTAATTACACAGTTCATTAAAATGTACATGATTGCTCTTTTTTCCTCTCTCTCAACAGATGTCACATGCATTTGAAAACTCTGGTGTATATAAAGAGTATGTCAACTCTCAGGTCATCAAATATTTGTAAGTACAAATTCATTCTAGATCATATGGAAAAGCTCTGGTTTTAGATAAAAACAATTAAAAAAGACAAACATAAAGATTCAGAGAAAGGGGGGGGAGATAAAAAAGGAAGAAAGAAAGGAAAAAAGGAAGGGAGGGAGGAAAGGAAGAAGGTAGGAAGGAAAGAAAAAAAAGAAAAGAAAAGAACGATTTTCACAAACTAACCTGTTACTGTATTTAGCAAATACCTGTTCAAGGTGAGAACTGTTATCTACAAACCTATAATTGCCTCTATAATTGCAAGAGAGTTATGAGGTTGTTAGGGTGATCAATCCTCGCTGATTTCTGTGATGAAAGATAATTTTAACTTCAGGAAAAACAAGTCATCCACCTGGATTGTTTTGCTTCCCATTACTAGCTACCTCTTCATATCCATTCATACCCATCTGTCCACAACTTCCTTGAAATAACCCTATTGGTCAGCTTAGCAATTACTGTCCCTGTGATGGATATAGAACAAAATGAATACCTTAGGATAGTATTTACCCAAATGTACCTTCAAAAAGTTGTAAGTTGGGGGTAGTTGTTGTAGGAAGTAATGCAGGGAGAAGGATACGATATATGGGGAAAACATAGTAAAATTTGCCAGCATTTATAATTTAGTAATTGCCAGAATTCTGAATTCCCAATACAAAACAAGATTCAGTTAACCAATCAACCAAGGTACTTAATTGCTTACAGATAAACAAAACCCTTCAAAGACCCTTCCATTGATGATAATTATTTAAAAATAGAATTGTGGGTTTAAAAAATTGGGATTAATATGGCTTTTGATTTGAAAGTCTTCCAAAATGAATTCAATTCCTTTCCTAATTAATACAAATGTTACTGAATATATAGATTAACTGACCTTTTCTTCATGCTTTGAGGTTCTCTTTCTGAGCCTTCTCATTATACAGGTCTATTGGAACAGACTAGGTCTGTGTAAGAAATTACAGAAAGAAGCTTAGTACAAGCTACTGAATAGTTGCTAGAAGTTGAATTCTTCCTTAACTTTTTTTATTGATAACCTCAAAAAATTATTAGAAAAATTATTATATGAGAGCAATGGTTTCTATTTTACTGTGATAAAATCTCATGCCAGTAATTTATTGGCCAGTGTTCATTTTCCCACATATTTGAAATTTTCTTGGAAATAGCCTATATATCCCTCAATAGACGAATGGATAAAGAACATGTATTTGCACACAATGGGGAACTACTCTGCCACAAAGAAAGATACATTCGAGTCATGTGTACAAAAAAAGATGCACCTCTAGATAATAAAATTAAGTGAAATAAGTCAGGTACACAAGTTTAAATACCTCATGGTTTGTCTTACATGAGAAACCTGAAGTATAAATAAAGGATAGATAATAGGAAGTAGGGAGATCTTTTTCAAATGAAAAGAGGAACAAGAGATGGAGGAGGGAAGGAAGAAAAGGGATTTTAAAAAAAGAACTAAAAAATAGAAATAGAGCCTTTATAAATAGGATCACAAGTTGGAGGGAACAGTGAAGGATGGCAGAGAAGGGGACAAAAAGAATTAAGGTGTGTTATGTACATGTATAAACTCCCCATAATAAATGTAATCATTATGTACTATAAATACGTATTAATAAAAATACATAATGAAAAACTAAAGAAAGAAATATTCTAATCCCTAGTTTGGATTCCCCATCTTCTCTAATGACAGTTTATCTGAGCTCGGATGATTTTTAGGAACTCTTGCACTTTATACCTACTGGAACAGTATCTGTGTGTTATTCCTTAATATGTACAAAGGAATATAATTATGATTTGTGGAAAATCCAAGATGAACAGAAAAGAAGTGAAACAAATCAAGAAGCAGCACATTAGAACATTTCTTTTGTTCCTAGGCCTGATCAGAGTGGGTCAAGGGTGCAGTTATTGCTGACATTTAAGTTTGCTCCAGCGAGGAGGGGTAGCCTGAGGATGAAAATCAAAGCTGTCTTACAGCAAATGTTGACAGGCAACGTGGCATCCTGGGGTGCAGTTCCCACTTCCATTAAACTTTCAAGTATTTTACTTTTGAACACTTTTCCTCATTTACTTGTGTTTCCTGACCATTTAACAAAAACTACTAGAAAAAAATGAACCAAGAATTTTAGGAATTTTCAAGAGTATTTTTTCCCCTTATAGAGAGTAAAGAGAACTATCACTGGGAAAGAAATACAAAGATTTGTAAGATTATCAGGTTTTTTCCTCACTGAATTTTTAATGTCAGTATCATAAACCTGAGAACTTTGTGTTTCCATTACTTCCCCTGTTTTCTATACTACTTGGTAGAGATGTAGAGTAAGGTAAAAAAGATAACAAGTAGGAGTTAAGGAGCTGACTAATCAACACATGAACCAGTCTGCATGGCTAATATTGGGCATAATCAGGTTAGAAATACTGGTATTTATGTCCTTAGATTAGAGTTAACACCTTGATGATATCATATTAATTTATGGTTTTTCTATACTTTCAGAAACCAGCAAGACTAACTTTGAAATGTTTGTCAACAACTGTAAGTTAAAAGCTTTATTGTACATTTAAAACATTCACAAGTATTTCCACATTTTTTCTAAAAAAGATCGTGAAGTACCTCATATAGAAATTTATAGTACTCTTTTATAAGTACTGGATATACCAGACAAAAATACAAAAATTTTTGTAAAACATTGGACAATGAATTTTAATATTCATAAGGATTTGTACAAAAGTGTAAAATGAGAACTGATTTTAAAGAATGGAATACTGGGTTAAGGCTGTCATATGTAGATAAGTTAAAATAAAAAAGACAACCTTCTAGGACAAAAAGAAAACGCAAACCAAACATTTGCTACAGATAAAAAACAGTTCTATATTTTAAAAATTATTTCTTTTTGAAGTATCATGTTGCCCATAAACTATAGTCATTAAATTTGAATTAGATATGTACAGAGTATCAAATGTCACAAGGTGCCTGCAAACAGTATTGCATACTCCATGCAACATGTAGCCTCTCATGAAACAGTCTGCACTTTCAAGAATTTAACAATCTACTAGGGGAGAGGAAAATTTTAAATTTCAATAAATAAGTACAAGGAAAGGCAGCAGTTAAAAGATGCTTCAGACTGGAAAAGAGAACAAGTCAGTCTCTCAACCAAGAAGAATGGACACTGTGAAAACAGTATTTTGCAGGAAGCAACAGAATCTACTAAGATAAGCTGAATAACCACTGAAGGCTTTCATGCAATGGTTAAGGTAATATTTCTTATAAAGCATAATCAAAGATACCTGCTCTTGCAAACCCTTTTCCCTAGGCTGTGGGAGACAACTAGTCAACAGTACCACAGTTGGCAACTGGATTGTGAACAGGGAAAATGCTCTGGAAGGGGCATGGCCATGGCAGGCCAGTCTCCAGTGGAGAGGCCAACACAGCTGTCGGGCTGCGCTGATCAGCACCAGGTGGCTCTTATCTGCAGCTCACTGCTTTGTTCAGTAAGTTCAAAAGTTTTGACTAAATGTAGGCTTCTGGGTTCAGGTCTATTTTGGGTAGCATGTAAGGATTAACTTAAATGTGTGAAAGATCACTAAAATTATATGAAATTTGCAATCATATACAGAATTTATTTTTACTGGCATAATTGAAGGACAAGGAAAGAATTTAAATTTGGGAAAGGAGAGGAAATTTAAAAGAAGTAATTAACATTGACCAAATAGCTACTTGGGCTTGGCCTTAAGCGTTTTACTTATATCACTGCATCTACTCATAACAATAATTCTAGATGGTATAATTTAATCAATGTATTCATTTTTTTACTAGTACATATTTGCAATACATAATGCTTATATTCCCGGTGTGGAGTTGATACATATATATATATAACACATCTAAATTACATTTTTTTCTAAATTATAATTTTAATCCCCTTTCTCTTCTCTTCCTCTGCATTCCACCCATCTCTTGATCCCCTTCCCAATTGAGAAAGATCTATCTCCCTATTTCCTATTGATTGGCTTTCATTTTGCTTTTTATTTATAATTTGGGTTTCATATATGTATCGATATATATGAGATGTTTAAGCTTGTGTATCTGATTTACTTCATTTAACAATATAGCCTCAAGGTATGGCCATTTTCATTCAAATAAGTGAAATATATCTTTTGTTATGGCAGTGCGGTACACCATTGTGTGTAAATACCATATTTTCTTTATCCATTTATCTGTTGATGGAGATATAGGGTGCTTCCAAGATTTAGTTATCATGAATTGCTATGAACATGGGTATGTGTGTATCACTATAAGATGATGTCTTTAACTCTTTCAGGAAAATACTTAGAAGGGGAATATGGGGTCAAATGAAATTTTTAGTTTTAGTTTTTTGGGAAATCTTCATACTGATTTCCATAATGACTGTATTAGTTTGCATTCTCAACAACAACAGTGGGTAGAAGGGTTTATTTTTCCCTGTAGCCTCACCAGCATTTGTTATCTCGTTGCAAGATGGAATCTCAGTGTTACTTTAACTGGCAATTCTCTAATGGTCAGCAATGTTAAGAATTTCTTCACAAATTTATTGGCCATTTGTGCTTCTTCTGTGAAAGTGTCTATTTATTTCACTTGACCAATTTTGATTGGATCTTTTATTTTTGAGGATCTAATTTTTTTGAGTTCTTTATATATTTTAGATATTAGTTCTCTGTCTGAGGAATAGCTGGCAACATTTTTCCTATTCTGTAAGTTTTCACTTCACTTGTTTTTCTTCTGCTGTGCAGAAGCTTTTTAATTTGATATAATCCCCTTTGTTGATTCTTGAAATTGTTTTCTCTGCAATTGGATTCTGTTCAGAAAGTCCTTGCCTATGCCTGTCTTCTAGAGTTTTACCTATTTTATATTTTTTGAAGTTAAGTATTTCTGTTTTGACATTTAATTCTTAGATTTGACCTTAGTATATGGTGAAAGTTATGGATCTAGATTTAATCTTCTGCATGTGAATAGCCAGTTTTCCCAATACCATTTATTTAACAAGGCTATCTTCCTCCAGCACGTGTTTTTGGCTCCTTTGTCAAAGATCAAATAGTTGAATGTGCTTGGGGGTTGATTCTGCATCCTCCATTGTATGCCTTTGATCCACCTGTTGGTTTTTGTGCCGGTACCATGCTGTTTTTGTCACTGTAGCTTTATACTGTAACATCATGTCAGGATTTTGATGCCTCCTGTTTTTCTCGTTATTGAGGATTGCTTTTGCTATTCTAGGTCTCTTCTGGATCTGTACAAATTTTAGAATTGTTTTTTGGAGTTCTGGAAGGAATGCTGTTGGTGTTCTGATTAGGTTTGCATTAAATTTGTATATCAGTTTTGAAAGTATGGTCATTTGAACTATATTGGTTCTGCCCATACAGGAACAGTAGCTGTCTTTTCCTTTTGTGTTGCCCTCATAGATTTTCTTTTTCAGAATACTATAGTGTTTGTTGTAGAGGTCTTTCACTTCTTTATTTAGGTTCCTTCCTAACTATTCAAAATTTCTTGGTGTTATTTCAAGTGGTATTTTTTCCAGGTTCATTCACAGTGGGTTCATTACTAGTGCACAGGAATGCTATTGATTTTTGTGTGTTGATTTTGTATCCTAGTACATTACTGAATTTGGTTATTAATTTTAAGAGTCTATTGGTAGACTTTTTTGCATCATTTGTGTAGTGGATTACATCATCTGGAAATAATCATAATTTGACTTATTTGTTTCATTTAAACATCCCTTTTATTTCTTTTTCATGCCTAATTCCTCTTGCTAAAGCTTTGAGTATTATTTTGAATAGGAGTGGTGATAATGGACAGCTTTGTCTTGTTCCTGAATTTAGAGGGAAAGCACTCAGTTTTTCCCCATTTAATATGATGTTGACAGTAGGTTTGTCATAAATGGCTTTTATCAGATTGAGATATAGTTCTTCTGTATCTATTTTATTCAGTATTTTTATCATGAATGGATGTGGATTTTGTCACAGGTTGATTTTTTTTTTGCATCTATTGAGATGATCATGTGATTTTTGTCCTTGCTTCAGTTTGTATGATGTATGACATTTATTTGTTTGCATATGCTGAACCATCCTTGCATCCCTGAAATGAAGCCTACTTCATTGTGCTGTATGATATTTTTGATGATTCATTGTGTTCTCTTTGCCAGATTCTTGTTAAGAAGTTTTGCATCTATATTCCTTAAAGTCATCTATAGTCCTATTTTTGGGGTATATTCTTGTCAGATTTTGGAATCAGAGTAATTTTAGCTTCCAGGAATTATTTTGGGAGTACTCCTGCCCTTTGATTTCATTTTTTTAATTAAGTTTATTGGTACATTTTAGGTATACAGTACGATGACATTCATTATTGGGAATTTGTACCTTTACATGATATATCTTAATCTTCCCTGAAGTTTTTGTAGACTTCTGCAGTAAATTTACCTGAATTTGAGCTCTTTGTAGTTGGTATTTTGTTTATTACTGTTTCAATTTCATTACCTGTTACTGGATTATTCAGGGTTTTAAAATCTTCTTGGTTAATTTTGGTAATCATATGTATCTAGAAATCTATCCATTTTTCTCTGAATTCTCTGACTTTTTGGTGTACATACAGATTTGCAAAATAGTTGGTAAAATATTTTTGACTGTGAAAGTGTTCACTGTGATTTCACCTTTTTCATTTCTAATTGCACTGATTTAGGTCTTTTTTTGTTAGATTGGCTAAGGGTTTGTTTATTTTGTTTATCCTTTTGAAGAATCAACTCTTTGACTCATTCATTATATTTTTGTCTCATTTTTATTGCTCTGATATTTATAGCTGCCTTCCTTGTACTAGTTTTGTATTTGGAATGTTGTTTTTTCTAAGACCTTGAGGTTTATTGTTACATTTATTTATTTGGGCTCTCTCTGTTTTTAAGAAGTGGCACTCAACATCTATAAACTTCCCTCCTAGGACTACTTACATTGTGTCCCGTAAGTTCTTGTATGTTGTATTGGTACTATTATTTTGTTCTAGATACTGTTTTATTTACTTGATTTTTTTCTGTAGCCCATTTTTTAAAGAGTAGATTGCTTACTTTCCATGCATTTGTATAATCACTGTGTTTTCTTGTCATTGATTTCTACCTTCATTGCACTGTGATTTGATAATGTGCAGATTATATTTTCAATTCTTTTTCATTTACTTTCTTGGCTAGTATGACTTTATGTGGGCCACTTCATAGAAAGTTTATGTGCTACTGAGAAGGATGTATATTCCGTTGTTGGAGGAAAAACTCTGTAGATATCTATTAAATTCATTTGTTTGAAAGTTTTATTCAACTTTGAGATTTCTTTTTAACTTTTTGTACAGTTGATCTATTTGTGATAATGGGGTACTGATATCTCCCACTAGAATTGTGTCTGTGTTTGTCTGATCTTTTATATTCAGCAGTACTTGTTTTATAAGTTGAGTGCACCATTGTTTGTACCTAAATGTTAATAATTGTTATATCTTCCTTTTGGATTGCTCCCTTAACCAATATGTAGTGAACTCCTTTGCCTCTTTTCATCAGTTTGACTTGATGTCTACTTTGTCTGAATATAGGATAGCTACTCCTGTTTTGGGGTTCTCATTACATGGAATATTGTTTTCCATCCTTTGATTTTTAGTCTATTAGTTTCTTTTTTGGGTTAAATGTGTTTCTTATGTAAAGAATACTGTTAGATTTTGTTTCTTGATCTGTTCTGCCAGTCTGTGCCTTTTGATTTGGGACTTGATACTATTTGGAAAGTTTTCTGCTATTATTTCAATAAACAGGTTTTTTATGCCATTTGTGCTGTCTTCTAATTTTTCACTAATTCCAGTAAGTCTTATATTAATGTTCTTTTCATCATCTAGTATCATTTTATGTGGGCTACTTTGTAGAAAGGTCATGTGCTACTGAGAAGGATTTGTATACTCTTGTTGGGTGAAACACTGTAGATATCTATTAAGTTCATTTGTTTGAAAGTTTTATTCATCTTTGAGATTTCTTTTTGACTTTTTGTGTAGTTGATCTGCCTACTTGTGATAGTGGGGTACTGATGTCTCCCACTATAATTGTGGGAGTGGTTGGATCCATTTTTTCATGTTCTCTTGTTGTTTTTAAGGTATCTCATTAATTGGAAACCAAAAACAGTCCTGTTTTCTGGTTTTGACACTCTTTCCTGACACTGATTCTTTCTGCCATCCATATTTTTGATAGAATTTTTAATGTCCCAAATTTCTGTTTGGTGCCTTTTTGTAGGCTCTTATTCTTTTCTATGCTGGTATGTATGTTTTGCATACTTTTGTTTAGCTCTTCTATTTTTTATTAGCGTTTAGTTTTAGACTCACTGATGGTTTTGTTTATTTGGCTCAATATTTTATCACATATCTTCTATGAGCTGTCAAATGTCTTGTTAATCTGTTTGGTCATCTTCTCTGATGTCATTCTCAATAATCTGGGTGTATGTCTTTTAGTTCCCACCCCTTTCTACCCCTCTGTTCAGGTTTGAAGGAGTTGGAAGTCTTTGGAGACATTTTGTGTGGTTGTCTTCTCACGTTTCTATTTGTCTGTGTGTGTGTGTGTGTGTGTGTGTGTGTGTGTGTGTGTTGAGGGTTGGCAGATGATTGCAGTGGAAAGCTTTGTTTCTATTATGGAGAACTTTATAGTTTCTGTCTACTAATCAGTGGTGTCCTCTGGGCATAGCTAACTATTGTTTGGCCATTGCCTATGTTCTAGAATTCAACCACCTCAGTTTATTTGGGAATGGGAGTTGCAGATATTAAACTCAGTACCCAGATCTCCAGGAATGGAACACAGCATTGTTAATGACTCTCAAAGCAATCCAGATACTGACATCCCAAGAGAACCAATTAATAACAGTTATGTCACTTTGGCTATAGTAAAAATAATCACCATCAATAATAGCTTCAAATACAAACTATTAACAAACCTTAAGGACCACACTTTACCATTGAAAAAAGATATATAATTATAATATGTTACAGTATGTATAAGCAATAAGATAAACCAAATATTGACCTACTACTTACCTAAAGTAAATATCTACTAAACAAGACAATTTTACCTCTGCTAACACTAGAACAATATTCAACATGAATAGCATAATGTTCACTAGGTATACTGAGTTTCATAAAGCTTAGTTGTTTTACTAGTACAGCTAGAAGTGGTGGGGAACTGGATAATTAAATAAAGCAAAATTTGAGAAATTAATTAATGTATATAAAGAAACAGAGAAAAGTGAGATGGAGGTCCTATTAAGAAGTAAAAGGAAATTAATAGTGTTAATCATTCACAGCAATGAATAAACAAGAAAAAGAAGAAAAAGAGACCAAAATACATGAAATTAAAAAAAGATAAAAGGAAGGAGAAAAAATTGAAAGGGGGAGAGAGAAAAAAAGAAACTAAAAGAGGAAAGAAAAAAAGAAAGGAAGAAAAAACCCAATCCCCAACAAAACCTGGTGAAGGAAAGAAAGATATTAAAAAATAGAAAAATCACAAAAGGAGTGAGTTAAAGTAAAAAAAATTCCTGTGTTTTTGAATGAGTGATTTCTTTCAAAGATCTGTAGTCTTGGAATGCAGTCACAATTTTCTCAGCTAGCTGTAGGGCCTGTGAGTTTTTGAGGTGCTCTCCCCACACCAGAGGCCCCTCTGTCATCCTAGACTGTGATCACTGTCCCCCCAAGGCATGTCCTTACTCCCCTTGGTACATGGAGGAGGCCATCAGTGCTCTGCTCTGTGACAGATGTAGGCCACGGAGATAGGGGGTCAGGTGACTGTTGGACTTCCTGTCAGTGATCACACGGTCTCTGACCAGGAGTCGTCTTTGTCCAGGATCAGGTTGTTTGAATAGTCCTCACCTCTGCTGCTCCATGCTAAGGGAGAGGAAAATGTACAGCCAGCCAGGACCTGATGCATGATCTTGCCCTTGAGTTTTGGCAGTTATGGGGGGAGTATCTTGCTCAGTCTTGCTTGCTTGTGTCAGGAGAAGGGCATTGTGAGTCTGGAGGGGGAAGCCTTGGGTCAAGTGCAGGCCTGCCTGCCCACATTGCAGAAGGGGCAACAGCTAATTTAATCAATCTAAAGATGAAGAAACTACGAAAAGGTGATGATCTTTCCTTGGCTGAAATCATATAGTTCTTAAATAACAGAAACCAAATGCAAATTCAGGTATGTTTGGTTTCAGTTACCAGGTGCTTTTCTATCTTGCAATCTAGAGATTTGTAATGTAATCTAAAAATATAAATGTCATTGTTAAAAGTAGAAAGCAGTATAGTGTGGTAAATATCACATATATGATTGATAGTAAATGCCATAGATATTTGAAGAACGATGGCATGCTGTAATGTGAATATGTAAGATTTGATCTGGATCCTAAAAATATAATATTTCATTAATAATATGGGTAGATGAGAAAGAATAACATGCATTTCTAGTTGGGAAAAAGCTTCCTTTAATGTGTGGAGATTGAACAACATGAATTGTATTCCTCAGACAATGAAGAGCAGCTTGCTATTAGAGGAGATTTTGTAAAAGAGAATGTTAGAAAATATATTTAGACAATTTAATTATATCAGTTTTGAACAACTCTAAATGACAGAAAACTTACAGAGGTATATTTTACAAAGTAAATTCATAAAATTTGTCATACAGAAATGATTTTCAAAAATCATTTATAAGCCACCTTAGAAGTTAAGATTCTTAAACAACTACCTGGTGAAGGAAAGAAAATATAAATATAAATGTTTTTAAAATATAAATTTTTGGGTGTGGATCCTTAGTTGATTTTAAGGAAATGAAGTTTAAAAAGCTCTATTTTGAGCATGTGGAGTTTTGAAAATTGGAGACACAACATGAAGATCTTGAAACTTAAAACAACAACAAAAAAAGCACCAACCATATATGGGACAAGTGAGAATAATTAAATAGGATATTAAGTCCTAAATTGAGAAAGAGTCTCAGGGAGGAACTTGAGGCATTGGTCATGGAATCTAAATTAGAAAAGAGGAGGTACTGGCTAGGTAAATGTAATACAGTGATTGGCTGAGAAAGAGCTACAATTTTTTTATGTCCACAGATGTTCAGTGCCTGCCTCAGGCTCTCTGAACTCAGGGTGTAGAGCAATGAGACTAATTCTGGATCCCATTCATTTATAGGAGTGAGGATGCTCATGCAATGCTTGCCCAGGTCAAATGCTCAAAACGTGGATGGAGCTGATTTATCAGAGAAAATACTAGTGACCTCCTTGGGACCATGTGAAGAAAGCTGACAGATTTAGTGCTGTTTTTATGGGCTGCAAAGTTTATAACATCTCCATGTCAGAGACATTTTTATAGATAAGAATTTAAATACAGTGTTGTCTGGGAATTGAATGTCTTTAAATTAAATTGTATCCTCTAGGAAAGATAGTTCAAAATACTGGACTGTCAACTTTGAAACTGCAGTGAATCAACCATATATGACGCAAGAAGTCCAAAATATTATTCTTCATGAAAATTATAGCAGTAGGTGGTATCAAAATGATATCACTCTTGTGCAACTGGCTAAAGAAGTTTCTTTTACAAAGTCTGTTCATAGGATTTGTCTTCCAGAGACTAAAATGAAGCTTTCAGAAAATGACAACGTTGTAGTTACAGGATGGGGAGCATTTTATACAAGTGGTAAGGTCCTTTTCACAGTGTAATACCTTCGTAGGAATAACTATTTAACCAATCCACCAATCACTCATTTATGTGGTTAATTGGTGAGTATATTGAACAGAAAACCAAGCCAAGGCACAAAGCATGACATCTTATTGTCTTCAAGCTCTGAAAACTAAACTTTTTGCTTATGTGAATTGGTAATATTGAAATTATATGTGAAACAACCAATTATAATATAAATCTCAAAGAGACTACTGTAGTCTAGGACTATCATGGTTCTTGGTGACTTAAAAGAATCTGTTTTGTGCTATAAATGTTCTTTATTCTAACAAGGCTAAGATTCCCTATAATAAACAAACTTTATTATCTTTAGGTATACTTCCAGTGGTACTTCAACAAGCTTTTTTGAAGATTATTGACGACAAAATTTGCAATGCCCCATATGCATTATCTGGCTTGGTGAGTGATGAAATGCTGTGTGCTGGATACATGTCAGGAGAAGCTGATTCCTGCCAGGAACATATAGCTACATTATCCAATCATTTTCTCCCCAAATGCCAATTAAATGGATTTTATCAACAAAATAATTTATTTGTTGATTGTCACATAGTAGTTTCTTATTTATTTTGTTTCTGATCCCATTTGTGTGTCAGACTCCACCCAGCCTAGATGCTGAGAATAAAGTGGCGAACACAATTCCTAACTTCATACTTTTCAGTGAAAATTATACAATCAATTTGGTCTGATTTTCTACAGAAATCAGCAAAAAGAGCAACTTGTAGACCTAGAACAGTGACTCCTCCCTCTCTGGAGATTTGGCAGGGAGGGGACTGTGGTCTCCTTACGGGCTTCATCATGGACATTTAACTGTAGTGCAATGTTCATAGGAGCCAAGTCACTTTCTCCTTATTCAGGCTGTACTCTATCTGAAACCAAGTTTTGGTCTACCCAATCCAACATTTAACTCTGGGTAGTATTTTAAGTTCTGTGGCTTCCCTGAGTTTTGCATAAACTCAAGAGTTCCAGAATTCTAAGGCCAAATATGTCAGGAAGAATTCTACATAGTTTTGGGGAAAAATCGTTTCACAATTAAATTGTGAGTAGGCCTAGTTTTCCTGCCTACAGGCTGGCTGTGACATGTCAAGACATAACTCCATTTTTGCCTCTGGTCACAGCTGAGACCTCAATGGTGCTATGATGCTGTGACACTCAAAGGGAGGATTACATCAGCTAAAGTCATCCTGGTTCCTTGAGAACGGCATAGTAAGAGAAAGGTTTCACCTGGGGAGGGACAAATTCCTTATCAATTTAACTCCTCCCACCTGCTATTATTTTTTTTGTATTAAATTCTTTTATTGGTACATTTATTGGTACAATTGCATTTCTCATTGGGAATTGTACCTTTACAAAATGCATCTGGGTTCTTATTTTTTCCCCATTCCTAGCCCACCCTTCACGCACTCCACCCTTCCCTATTTACAAAGACTTTATTTCCATTTTTTCCATTTCTCAGCATTTTTCCTTTCCCTTCTTTCCTTTCCCCTGCCCC